TCCCTGGAGTGGCCTGATGACCAACCAGCAAAGGAGTTGGATAAAACTAAACTGAAGACACAGTACTGGGAGGAATGTACTTCCGAAGATAATAAAGGCGTCTGCAGCATGGCGAATCAGGCTGGTTCCCAAAAAGTGAAGAAAGTACATGTGGGCCGACCAACAACAGTTGTGAAGGGAAGTGATATTTACATGCTTGCTGGAAATTACAGTTGGACACTTACCGAGAATGACCAGGCAGGTGACTGGGGACTCATGCTGGTGAAAGGGAACGTCAGTAGGGAAGGAGAAAATAAAAGAATTTATTGGAATGATACTTACGTTATCCCGTGGTATTATAATGGCAATCAAGGATCACTGAAACGACTGGTTGGTAGCGGTGGATCGGGTGTTAAGATGAAGGACGGTACGCTTGTGTTTCCTATTGAAGGCACAAAAAAGGAAAAGAAGGATGATGGCACTGAAAAGGATGGAAAGACCGTTTCGCTGATCATTTACTCCTTTGAGGATATTGCGGGTTGGGTGCTGCCGAAGGGGATGTCTGCCGATGGCTGCAGTGATCCCTCCGTCGTGGAGTGGAAGGAAAAACTCGTGATGATGACTGCGTGTGATGATGGCCGCCGCAGGGTGTACGAGTCCGGTGACAAGGGGGATTCGTGGACGGAGGCACTCGGGACACTCTCGCGCGTGTGGGGCAACAAAAAGGATAAAAAAGTGAAACCCGTTGGGAGCGGGTTCATCACAGCGACGATTGAGAACAGGGACGTGATGCTCGTTACTCTGCCGGTGTATGCCAAGAATGCTGAGTACGAAGTTAACCGAAAGGGTGAACTCCATCTTTGGCTGACGGACAACACGCACATTGTTGATATTGGGCCGGTATCCAATGATGACGTTACCGCCAGCTCCCTGCTGTACAGAAGTGGTGGAAATGGGGATACTAATAATGAGGAGAAGTTGATTGCACTGTACGAGAAGGAGGGTAGTGACGACGTAACATCTCACAGTTTGCTCACTGTGCCTCTGAATAAGCAGCTGGAGAAGGTGAAGGAGGTGCTGAAGACATGGAAGGAAGTGGACGACACTGTTTCCAAGCTGTGCACCACTGAGAGTGTTGAGGAAGATCGCTCACCTAACACTGCCTGCAGCGTTGCCATGCCGACGGATGGGCTGGTTGGCTTTTTGTCTGGCAAATTCTCTGGGAACACATGGAGTGACGAGTACCTCGGGGTGGACGCCACGGTACATAATAATGATGATGGGGCAACAAAGGCCTCCGATGGGGTGACGTTCCGGGGAGCGTGGACGGAGTGGCCTGTTGGCAGGCAGGGGCAGAATCAGCTGTACCACTTTGCGAACTACAACTTCACTCTTGTGGCGACGGTGTCCATCCACGGTGAGCCGAAGGAAGATACCCCCATTCCAGTGATGGGTGTGCGTCTGGACGGTGAAGGAGAAAACAAACTTATGGAGCTGTCATATGACAGTGAAAAGAAGTGGCGGGTGCTTTGCAGTGACGGCAAGATCAAGAAGCTCAAAAGTACTTGGGAGACATGGACACAGTACCAAGTGGCCATTGTGCTACAGAACGGCACCCAGGGCACCGCGTACGTCGATGGTAAGCGTGTGTGTGGGGATGTGCAACGTAGCTCGGATAATACGGAATTGAAAGGGATCTCACACTTCTACATTGGAGGGGATGGAAGCAGTGCAGGGAGCAAAGAAGACGTGCCTGTGACTGTGACGAACGTCCTGCTGTACAACCGTCCGTTGACTTTTTCAGGTGGGAATGCCGAGGTGGAAGAAGATGCCGATTCACCATCAGCGGAG